CATGTGAGCAGACTAAAGCACATAGCCAGTGATGAGTTCCAGTCATGTCCCACTGTAAAAGACACAATAAAGGAAATGTATACCAGGAAGAGAAGCTGGGCTGATCATACGGAAAGGATGAAAAAAGACAGGCGAAGCAATTAAATGAATGGCACCTACGACAAGTTAAAAGGAAAGCAGCCCGGCCCACCGACACGCAGGGCCGAACCATTAACTCAAATGTGCGAAGCGACACTGTCGAGGAAAGCATAAAATCGGAGTCGACAGGAAAGTTGCAAAATTGAAAACCCATCTTACGCAATAAAGATTATTCCAGGAATGCACTACTCCGGGTATGCATATATATGCACTGTGACGTATGTATGTGTATATAACCTATCCTACGAAATAAAGATTATACCAGGAATGCAATATTCCGGATAAAAATGTGTGTATATATACATATACATGTATATACATACACCAATGCATCTTTGTATAAATCAAGTATACAAAGTGCTTAACAAGCAAGATCAGATATGCACCGCTAAACTGTTTCACTATCACTACTTGCTGCGATCAGGGACTGTCGCTCCGAATTGTCAGTGGATCGGGATTTATTTTCATATCTATCGGCCATTTCCTGCAGAATCAACCAAATCAAAATGCAGCTCACACAATATTTTTTAAAATGAAGCAGTGTGGAGTTCCTGAAGTGTGAAAGTACAATAAGTAAAAAACGCACTTTTCGTTTTACCATGGTGTAAGCAGCAGAGCCGGCCAGTACAACGACATTACTTATCCACCACAACACGGGTTTTATTTCTTCCCACCAAACAACGGCAATAACTGTTTGTGCTGCTGCCTTCGCAGTGCCACTAATATTGTGAGTCAATGGTGAAGTTACCTGAACGGCATGATGACTTTAAAAAACTGAAAATTAAAAAATGAACTTCAGGACTGTTTGAAGTGCACAATAAGGAACGCACCTGAATTTGCCATCCAGTCACGTAGCTCATTAAAAATCCGAAAACACCGGAGAATGTCATCAACATCCAAAATCGGAAAGATGTCAGCAGAGGGAAGTAAAAAATTTCACTTAATTCACCAGTGAAAAGCATGAGCGGCAGAAACAATACTGCTGCATTCACATTGTTATATCTGAAACCTCAAACGACTTAAGTGATCATTTTTCGTACTGCTCGATAAGACATTCAAAATTTCCGATGGAGCAGCATTTTCCTCAAAATATCAGTCAAAAGTAACTCCTACAATGAAAAATTCTTCCTTTTGCTAATCAGTGAGTGAACAAACTTACGAACTCGG